AGAATAATGCTGGCCAGGTTAACTCTTTATATGTACATGGCCAAGACCATTTAGTGTGCCTTTAACAAGAATTCCAGTCCAGTAACTACACATCTCTCCACAAATAATTCTTCCTAAATCTGTCTTTGTCATAGAGTGGACAGATCAGTAGATTTATAACTAGAGAAATGTAGCCAAGTGAGCAGATTCATCCATACATGTATTTCTCCATCAGAGAGGCAACAGCATTTTCTTGAGCTTTATTAGTTCAAGACCAAATTCCAAGGAAAATATAAATGATTGTTTAAAGCCTGTATAAAGTCAACAGGCTTTGAAAGACGAATGCTATCACTCATGCAAAATCAAGTTTGTGGTAAGCACAATAAACAAACACCCATATTGAAAAGTGGCATGTGAGATTTAGAACTAGCTGCCTGGGTTTTGTCTTCCTTTATCAGAAAAGAAAGCAGGTAACCCTAATGGTTGAGTTGTCCTAAATGTTTTGAGGTATGCTCATCAGCTGACAGGTCTTTCCCTTGTTATTTGTAATGGTATATAACCCACTCCCCCACACAATTGTAAGTACTTTATTATATTGGAGCACATATTGTTAAGAATTTATACTAAAATTTACTCCAAATTAAATGCTTTAATATTAATTTTCACCTTAATTGCTTGGATTATAGATCAATAAATAATTTTTAATTTTGAGTGAACGAAATCATTAATATGAGACTTTAAAAATGATACAATGCTGAGAACAGTGGCACCTGCCTTTATTTGTAGGTGCTAAGGAAGCTGAGACAAGAGGAGCTCTTGAATTCAGGAGTTCAAAGCCAGCCTGGGCAATTAGCAAAATAAGAGAAAGAACACAAATGTCTACAAGTATTTAGTTTAAGCCCCATATTAATACTTAATTTTGCTTCTTAAAACTTATGGGAAATGAGCTGGGTTTGGTGGTGCCCTGTCTCAAAAAAAAAAAAAAGACAAATGTTTGAAAAATAACTGTTTAAAAAATATTTTTTAGTTGTAGATGGACACAATACCTTTATTTTATTTATTTTTATGTGGTGCTGAGAATCAAACCCAGGGTCTTGGACATCCTAGGTGAGCACTCTATCCCTGAGCCATAACCCCAGCTCCTGAAAAATAACTTTTTAATCCTAATGGTTGAGTTGTCCTAAATGTTTGAGGAAAAAAATATAACTTTTATAAAAAGTGATAAAAAGAGCAGGGAATTTCTCTATTTTTGAAATGAAGTTTCAGATGGTTAACATACTGCTAGTATGTTGTATAGCTGAGAATTTTATTTTGTAAGCCTTATATTCCTGAGACAGATAATGTGAAGAATGGTATGTATTAAAGATGATTACATAAAAGGGTAAGGGAATAGTTCCTACCATACAATATAACATTACTCGTGAACTATTTTATTTCTTTAGACTGAGAGTTCTACTTATTAGCTAGCTGTGTCAGTTACCTAAGAAATACGTGTTCATGAAAGTTCAATTTCTTTGAGTTATAATATACAGGATAATAGTGGCACATGGTACTTTACATTTTTCATGACACATTGCAGAATATTCATCTAATAAAACAGTCTACATTTTAAGTACAATAGGTAATACTACATCTGTTTGGAGATTGGGAAACTAAGTCTCACAATAAGTGATCTGGCCAAGGTCATATGGCTGAACTGGCCCTGAAACTCAGGAACACATTAAACTAATTTCAAAAATATTATCATTTCATAATTTCAAATAATCATCATTATAGGAAACCTGTGTCAGCTTATATCTGCCACAGTCAATAATGACATACCAAAGCACTGTTATGTAGAGGATCAAAAGTTGTGGATATCACAAGGTTTAAAATCTGTTTGGGGCCTGGGGTTGTAGCTCAGAGAGTGCAGGTAGAGCACTCCTGGGTTCACTCCTAGCATATGYGAGGACTGGGTTTGATCCTCAGTGCCACATAAAAATAAATACATAAAATAAAGGTATTGTGTCCATCCACAACTAAAAAAATTTTTAAATCTGTTTGGTTTCTTCTTAAATCATGCAGTTTCATGACTTAAAATTCTGAAACCCAAAGGTAAAGGGTCACTATTAATAAAAATACTTGTACTTGTTATGGTAGAATGATGTAGAGTACAAGGATTCTTAACCAAGAGTCCTTAGATGAGCTTTGGAGGTCTGTGAACCCCTGAAAATACCTGAAAATTTATTATCTGAGAATTATATTTGGCAAGTGAGAATCAAGAATTCTGGTAAGTGTAATTATAAAAAGTATTTTTAAAATACTTATAGGAGCAATTCTAGAGGTTGTATATTTGGGGAAGGATGCTACTCTGGATTGTGGTGGCAATTTAAATGTGCCTATTAGGAATAAGAAGTAAAAGATTATGATAAATTAGAGTTCAGATGTACTGGTCACTTGTGCTATATGCCAGATACAGTTACAATTATGGTTATAGAATGCATATGCATTACCTCATTTCATCATTATAGCAACTTTGAGGTAAGTTTTATGGCAGTCCTCATTTTTCAGATAAGGAAACCAATGCACAAAAAGGTAAGATGACTTGCCCCAGGTCACATATTTAGTAAACACCAAAACTCAAATCCACTGTCTGGTACGAAATCAGTGTTCTTAACCACTGTTCTGTACTACTTAGAATATGCTTTGAGGAATATTAAAAAGTGCATAGATATGTGGTGCATTTTTCTTTCCTAAAGTGTAAGCAGAAAGTTCTGTAGCAATGTCTGGTCAAAAGAGAAGTATGGCCAGGCCTGGTGGCACATGCCTATAATCCCAGCTATTGGGACACTGAAGCAGGAGAACTGCAAGTTCAGGGCTTGCCTGGTCAACTTAGCGAGACCCTGTCTCAAATAAATGAAAAGGGGTGAGGATGTAGCTCAGTGGTAGAGCACTCCTGGGTTCAATCCCCAACACCACAAACTCAAAAGAAAAAAACCCCACAAAACAATAACAAAACAAGCAGAATGGTCTTCAGGTAGAAATACACTTTTATAATTTTGAAGTGTTTTTCAATAAGTGATAAAACTGATTTGTATAAAACAGAGAAAACAAATAGATATCTTATGTATTATGATGTTTTTTAGCTTAGGAAGGAAAATTATTTCTAAGAGAAAAAAGCTTATTACTAGTACTGTGTACTCAGACCCTATTCTATGGAATATAAGACCTTTATTACTGTTGATTATTTTAAGAGAACACTGGACTTTTTTGGCTTAAGTGATGAAAAATACATAAGGAGTCATTTGAGTTAGAGATCAAACCCCCAAGGTGACTTATGGCAGTCTTCACTTTGCAGGTGAGAAAAACCAAAGCACAGAAAGGTTAGATGGAAAGGACAATAATGGTGCCCCAGGCACGATTTTTTTTTCATATGATCTAGCCACTTACCTTTTTAAATAGGTTTTTCTTTTTAATGGCAATTTTAATAATTATAGCCAATTGTATTATACTTTGTTATGTAATATGAATTATTAACTTCTATATAGTGATTAAAACATTTTAAATTAAGAAGGTGGATAAAATAATTGTCACTTCAATGGCTAGCACCTGTGAATGACTTCCTTTACCTGAATGTCTGTTCTCAGTTTCCTACTTTCCTTAAACAAAACAAAATAATTATATACAGCCATCTTAGATTACCATAATTTGGAGAAATATTTGTACTTATGCAGTTGAACTGTTTGATACCATGTTTTGTTTTGTTTAATTCCTATTTATGGCATAAACAGTATTAAACAAAAACATCTGTATGTAAGACAAGGACATAATTTTAAATAGCAAACTTTAAGATCTAATTATTGAAATACATAATCAAACCAACATGATTTATGTTACTGTGAATTATATTGCCATGATGTAGTTTTTAAAATTTTAAAGTAATGATAAGCAGGAAGAAATTGCTCAGGAGTGTTTACTAGTGGGCAACTTCCCTCAACTACCTCTTTTCCCAWTCCCTATCATGGTCTACAAAAAACAGGAAAATTGCCCTTAGATAAGAAAAAGACTACTCATTTTAATTTGCAGATGGCATTGATTTTTTGAGATTGACATAACACAGAAACACAAGTGTTCCAAGCCTTAACCCCTCATTAGACAAAACTTTCTAACCAACATGATTTCATTTTTGGCATTCCATTAGAGGTGAAGTATGACAGCTGTTCAAAGAATGTAGCTGAATGTGTATGTATGTGTTTGAGAACAAAGAGCCATACTGAAATTACAAAGTGACTAAAATAGAATTTAGTAACCCAAATTGGAATTTGGCTGGAATTCATGAGGAATTATTATTCTTTATACACTCTGACAGTAAGATTTTTTAACTGAGGGCAGGTGCTCACACTTTGCCAATGATGAGCAGTCCTACAGCAGAGCAAAGAGGGGAAACAGTATTTTTCTAAATGTTTTCTTAGGGTATTAAATAAAAACTACTAAGGTAAGAAGTTCAGTGCTTTACATAGAGAGTAAACTATACAGATCATTTTATTTGTAACCCCATGTGTTAAGAAGGGACACTGTAAAGTAACAATCAATTAGAAAGCGACAGTCAACAAACCAGCATTTAATTTGGTATTTAAAATTAATAATTAAAAATCAAATGGAGCAGTGCTTAAAGTAACTAAGATAATTCATGACAAACACCATTAATTCAAGCTCTAATTATWGGAAATATGATAATTCGACATGGGTAACTTAAATGTACCAGTAGAGATAGAATAAGGGCATATGTTAGCAAAGTATTAAATAAGTTTTCAGGGAGCCTCTAAAATTATCTTTAAGAACCTTAAA